CGTAAGCTAATTTAAATACGAATTAATAACGAATTATGAAATTAACGAACGAAACCGCCCAAGCCTACTAATTAGTACTAGCCATAGCAGTGAATCCATTAACTTTTTTCTATTGTCCCAATTCCAATATAAAATTGCAATTAATTAAAAACTGAGATTCTGGAAGGTTATCAAATAATGCCAAGAAGATGCAGATAGACTTAATTTAAATAATTTATTCCAAACACCAAACGTGGTTATCTCAAGGGATGGTGATGCAGTATACACATGTCCCAGGACAATTGCCCGGACTATTAATAGTTATAACGTCCTTTTGTAATACCGTGCCCACCCCAACATGGTTTGCATCCCCACATCCTGTATATAAGTGCACCAAACAGGCTATTGCTACTTAACTCTTATCCCCCCCCCTTTTAATCTATAGCTCGCCAACATTTCCCATGTCAAGCGAAATCCTTTGAAACGGCCTCGACGAAATTGGGTGCTGACATCAGGATGCCGATGGTGCAAATGATAGTGAAAACTGAAAACGCCATCAAGCAGAGGCGGTCTACGACAGAAGCGGCAAACTTCCACTCGTTGCAAACGGCTTCCGCCTCGTCTTGGTCTCTGAACCGATTGGCGATGTAGCGGACTTCCTCCAAGATCTTAGCAAGATCCGGGTCGGTTTCTGAAGGATGTCCGCTGTGAAGGAGGTTGTCGTCGTCCGTCGGGGAACACGTCATCCTTCCACAAATCACACCCGAGTCGGTGGTTGGAGTACAATGGACTCCTTCCAGACCTCTGAATCCGATATAGAGCATGTTTCCATTGCTGGATTGTTGCCCACTGACTGTGTTGATCTCGACGCTGGACATGCTACATCGGCGTTGCTTGTGTTGGCACGCAGGGCGGACTTTGTCCTCTCCAGGCCGCTTCATCCTCAGGAACCAGGCACACCAGTTGAGAAGGATGATCCTGGTCTGGAGAACACGGGAGAGAACAGATAACTGAACACATTGTGTGTCACTTGATTATTATTATTATTATTATTATTATTATTATTATTATTATTAAATTTATTTATACCCTGCTAACATCTCCTGAAGGACTCGAT